TATGCATGTTTTAAATTCTCAAAAGAAACAGTTTTCATTCAGCTTTATCCTGTTTAGGTTTTATTCCAATTCTAATCATCACTTTTTAAAACAATAAACATTGATGAAGATAACAGTGATAACACAGTCCTCGTTGCTGGTGGGAAGGTGTCTCCTGATTGTCTATTTTATTCACTCCACGCCGCAAAATTTTCTTCCCATTTGGGCTTTCTATTTACCTTATAAATAAATATGACTGTTAAAACATCTTTGGCCTTTGATTGGAAATATTCCCGTTTAATTTTTTTTTAGGCAAGTTCCTAAAATATATTTTGAGTGGTGCCTGCGCCTCATTATAAGATAAGGTTTTGTATATTGCATAGACGAGTGTTCGTATCTATAACTTTTCAACTTCAAAATTGATAATAATTGGTTTATAAATTTTGACTTATTTTTTGGGGAAAAATTAATTAATGCCAAAATGGATTAATCAACTTCAAAATGGATCAATTAACTTCAAAAAAATTAATCAACTCCAAATTGGAAAACAACTTCAAAATGAGAAATAATCAACTTCAAATTGAGATTAATCAACTTCAAATTGAGAATTGATATAATACTAATAAATTTAATATTTATTCTTTTATTTTTGCTTAAAAGGGATATAAAAATATAAATGTTCCTAAGAAATTTATTTAAAAGATTACATCATCTAAGTTAATTACAGAGGGAAGTAATCTCTGTATTCCAGATACGAAGTTAGTGCAAGTCTCAGGGGAAATATTATTAATTGCCTCGAGATCATCCTTCTAACTTGCTGAGGCAGAATTCTTTAGTAGTTAAAGATCCCTGGCCATCACTTCTTAAAATCCCAACAATTGAGTCTTCCATACTTCTTTTTACGTCAGTTTTAATGACTGACCAAACCTTTTCAATGGGATTTAACATCGGACTATACGGGTCAAGTCTGAAAATTTGATGTTGCTTAAATTCATCCTCCTCCACAACTTCTTGAATTAAAAGGAGCGTTATGGCAATAACTAAGACAACTCCCCTTTCATAAATTTCATTTGCCTTTTCTAAGGCACTCCCCTGATCCATTCTTTCGCATCCTCTTTTTGAAAGAACCTCTTTTTAATTTTATGATGAATTAATCCATTATTACTAATACATCCAATAACATGGATGTTATTTCCCTGGATCCGGCACACTTTTTTTTAGGGACTGAAATTAGAATAAAATTGGTTTCATCCAGAATTGGCACACTTTTAGGACTAAATTCGTAATCGTTACGTTTCGCCTTATTGAAATTATTATTGGCAGCTTCTGGTTCATAATAAACCGCTTTTTAAAGTAAAGGCCATGGAGTCCAAGTGCTTTCTTATGCATTCTTTCGTCATACGAACCTCATACTTTTCGACCAACTTATTTACAATGTCTTGAAGAGTGACCCTAGGAGAGTTTTCAATTAATTCGGCCATAAAAATTTTATGCTCTTGCATAATTTTATATTTTCTTGCTCCTCCCCTAGAGTCACTCTTATCAGCACCCTGGTCTAACCAACGGTATGCTGTTGGCAGAGGCACACCAATTGTTCTTGCCAGGTCTTTCCAATTTTCTGCTGCAGCATGTGCAGCTAAAATCTGGCCTTTTTTTTCGCCAGCCACAGTTTTCTTGAGGTAAGTCCTCTTTAGAGCTGTTGCTAATTCTTCTTCAGCTTCTTTTTGTAGAGGTTTCTCCAGCATCATCATCAATCATCATTTTTTGCCCATATGGGACTTTTCTCCTCCTACTTTTTACTGTAAGGCACCCAATGCTTTCAAGATAATGAAGACGAACAGTCAATTTCCTTACTCATGGGGTAAATTAATTGAAAAATAATTTTCAATTTATCAAAAAAAAAAAAAAAAAAGAATCTCAATTTGAAGTTGTTTATTCTTATTTTGAAGTTGATTGTTTTTAGGTTTTTGACATTTTCTCTATTTAAAGTTAATTAATCCATTTTGAAGTTGATTGTTCCATTTTGAAGTTGATTAATCCATTTTGAAGTTGATTAATCCATTCTGTAGTTGATTAATTTTTTTACTTGAAAATAAGTCCATTTTGAAGTTGATTATTATCATTTTGAAGTTGAAAAGGCATAGTTAATTGGCCAGTGAAATAAAAACATTCAAGCTTTTCATCTATAAGAGGGAAGAAAATTGTATTCCGAAAGCCGAGACACGTATTAAAAGAAATCTGAGACATTGTCTGATTGCCAGGTAATAAAAATTAGCCACTTGAAACTGAAAATGTTTGTTGAGTTCTTATTAATGAATTTCAAGTGATTTTCGAGTTCATTTTGCTATGAGTTGATCTACCATCTTAAATGGAAAGCAAACGGTGTATGCAGGGAGTGTTTTCTGACTTAATTAGTCGATCCAAAACTTGAGGTAGGAAAAAGAAGTATATATTGGTTTCAGTCAGTTAGTTATGTACCATGCGTGATACACGCTTAGACGATACATGACTGACGAGGCAGGTTTTTCCCACAGTAGATTGTCATTTCTTTCTGCGGACAACCAGTTGCCATCCAATGCTGTCCTTCTGGGGGAGATGAGAGGATTCACACTTTTCCCAAGTGTATTAGCATGTAAATAAATGTAACGGATTCGACTGGAATTCGAACACGGCTCTCCAATTACCTCAATCCGAGACGCTATCCATTACTCCACCGTGCCTTCTATTGGTTTAGGTTTCACTAAATAATAGTCAAAATGCAATTGTTTCATTTATATCAATAAATCCATTAATTCTATCTACTTGTATTATTTACATTATCCTCACTTTCATTGTTATATTCACAACGTTTCGGCCGTTGTACGCTCCGGTCATCTTCAGGTGATTGGAATTTCGAACCGTAGACTGTTTACCTGAAGAAGGTCGGAGCGTACAACGACCGAAACGTTGCGAATATGGCAATGAAGTTGAGGATAACATTCCGAATAAGGTAAATAATGCAAGTAATCATAATATCTCATCACATCTCAAAGATATAGAGGCCGAAACGTTGTAAATATGGCAATGAAGATGAGGATAACAGTCCGGTTAAGGTTAGTAATGGAAGTACGTAATACCTCATCTCAGTGATATAGAGATCGAAACGTTGTGAATATGGCAATGAAGATGAGGATAACAGTACAAATAATGTAAATAATACAAGTAGTCATATACCCCATCTAAGAGATATATACAGATAATTCTGTGTAATATCCTAAAAATCCATTATTTCAAACTTATATCTTTAAAACTAATCATTTTTACATTTTAATTTTTAAAAACTATTTATCTACTTAATGTAAATGAAATTCATTATTTCTACCTAATACCCTTAAAATCCATTATTTCTACCTTAAATCCTTAAAATTCATTATTTACACATTAAAATTCTTAAAACCCATTATTTCTACCTTATATACCCTTAAAATCTATTACTTCTTTTTACACTATTTACATTATTCGGACTGTTGTCCGCATCTTCGTTGTTATATTCACGACGTTTGGGTCGTTGTAGGCACCAACCTTCTTCAGGTGATTGGAATTTCGAACTGAATCCTTTATTTCGTCCACCGGGATAGATTGTTCTAGTTCCACGTGTTATGCCTCTTCCGGATGTCTCAGTATCTGTTATCTCCCTTTTTGTTCAACTCTGCTGTAACCAGGAACTGAAATCTTTGAGTCAAGTCACTGGATTTAACCAATGCTTTTAACCACTGGGCCATGTGGCGTAATAAAATTTTCCCACGATTACTTTGCGCCTTTTTGGTCTTGTGTCGACTAAACTAAGCTTCGTAAATAATTGATAAACAGCTTTAGTGAATCGGTCCCCGAGTTTGGAGATGCATGTTTGCAGACAACACGAGACAGCAATAAATTTCCAGATTATCATCAGCCCTGCCATTGCAGTTGTCGACCTTTAAGGGTATAAACTAAACAAATAGACAAATATGGCTGTAAACTTTGAGAAAACGATTGCTTCCTGTTTGGGGAAAAGGTAAATTTAAAGAGGTCTATCACAAATTATTTGATCTCTTTGTTGATATCGATATATGACCGCCTTTATCCTTGGATCAATATCAGCTAGCATTCAAAAACTGGGTAGTTGTGTGTTGATGTCTTCCGTGAGAAACAGACTTTGATTTGTGCTGAGATAAGGAAGCAATTTCGTCACCATCTGATATCCTTCATTTCTTTAGGAAATTATTCATAGCAAAACCAAACAAACGCTCTAATCATTATTCGTCTTGTCGAGAGGTTTATTTGAATACGTCTCAATATAGTGATTTTCCAAGTGTAGCTTAGATGTGGCACAAGGCCAAAAGTAGGTGGCACCCAGTAAGGATCGAACTCACTTGTAATTGTTCTAGCGAGACAACCTTGCTAACCATTACACCGCCTCGAGGCGCCCAACACGTGTCAATATATATCAACTCTTAAGTACGCATTTAGTCACAAGCTTAAAAAAACTCCGTGTATCAAACAAGGTGACGTGAAATTCACGCTACGGTCTTTAATATTTGCAGTAGGAGGAAAGTAACCAAAATCTACAGAAAATTCTGACTTCAAATTATATTTTAAAAAAAGTTCATGCAGTTTCGTTAAAATTCAAAAATTCAAGTTTGACATTTGTAATAAATTAGTCGAAAAAGCAGATATGGTATTGTGCTAAAGTTGGCGTGGTTTAACCAATAATCTCTATTAAAATGTTAACTAGCATTTAGTCTTTTGAAAATGACTTCATATATGAAGACATAAGAGATCGTGAAGATGTGCACTTTGACTGACACTGATCTCCAAAAATTCAACATGCTCAAAGAAAGAAAGAAAGAAAGAAAGAAAGAAAGAAAGATAGAAAGAAAAAAAAAAGAAAATGATGGTTGTTCTTGCTGTGAAGGGTGACATGGAACTATTTCATTCAGTGGATGAAGTTATTGTGCGCATGCGTGCATGCCGACAGACGAAAGCGTTTGATTTCTACTCACGTGTCGAAATGTCATTGGCGCAGCGCTTGTTACCATGGAAACCTCTGTTACCGCCACATACCGTTAAGGCATGACTCAACTCGATATTGACGGGTTGGATCAGTAAGAATTTTATGTTCGCTTTAAAAATATAACAAGGAAATTAATGTAGTTGTTCATTACAGTTTTACTTATATAATTAAGTTAAACAAATATAATGAATTGTTTTTTTTTATTATTTACTCTACGCTTATTATTTTTATAGTATAATTTAGAGTATATTTTTCTTACATAAATTCTATATGGGTACTTCCAAAGATTAGCTAAAATGAGCATACCATGATGAAACAATGCCTGAAAATTATAGTTTTATAGTCAAATCTGTTATTATTATTAAGAGTAAACACCAAAGGATTTGATGTAAAAATTATGTTTTTTAATCCTTCTTAATTTTGCTGAACAATTTTGTTTTTCTTGTTTCACTGTGGCATCATAAATTTGTATGGGAAATTTGAGCGTCTTTTTTGCGGTGAAAAATAATTTGATTTGGAAATTCTTGCAAAAATCAGATAATTATTGGATTTTAATGAAACTTTCAGGGCTTATTCACAAATGAATGAAATTATTTTTGAAATGTTTCTCTTTTAGAATATCTAATTTCTTTTTTATATTTGTTAATCCCCACTAATTTTATGAAATTTAAGAAATTCTTTTTTTGTAGCGCTTAATGTTTTTATTAATTGTAAGAACAAGTCCTCAGAGAATTTAAATCATCAACTTTTCATAAGTCAAACAGAACCTCCAGTTACATAAAATCTGCTTTGAATCGTAAAGTAAAAATGCAATAAAACTAAGACATTATTTAATTAGAAAAGATTTTCATTACTTTTATGAATAAAATATAACTTTGACATTAGTATCTTATGAAAATCCTTTTTCGTTGAATAATGCATTTTTACAAGATTGTTTTCTTTCTTTTTAAAATTTAGGTTATAATAATTTATAAGTTTTAACTTGTATAAGTCAATGGATATTGTTATTAAATAAAAACTAATCATAAATGGAAAATTTTTTACTTGTATATTAAAAAGGATTTTTTTTTATTTTTATTATTTTTTTACGATCTGATTTTTGTAGTACGGAAGTTCATACGACATTATCAGAAAATAAGTGCGGTAACAGTAGTAAATTTAAAATTTATTGGTAATTTTCTAACATTTCCTCAACAAACGTCTTCATAAGTAAGACTATAAAGCCAAAGTACTTAACATTCAATAATATATTAAAATGATTAAAATATTTTTAGTTTTCAAGATTACTGGGTAGGTAAAAATATATAAAAACGGTGTTTATGTTGTATTCATCATATAATTTTATTATGGTTATCTCCTGGTTAGATAATTTTTTCAAACATCAGGCTGTCGATAAATGTGTCAGCTCCTCATAAAAACACCTACCTCTGTGTTAAAAACGCCCTTTTTAAAAAAAAAAAAAAACACGAAATACTTCAATTCAAATAAACCAAACGTTAATAAAGAGAATTATTTTGTGGTGACAGATTTATCAATATGATCGATTTTATTGATTTTACTAATAATTACTAATTAAATCTATTAGTTTGGAATTAAAAAATAAAAAAAAAACATCAAGATTCCCGATTTTTAAAAATGTATTTTAAACCTTTTTTTAAGGTACTTAATTATATATGTTCCTCATTCTCCCCTTAAAATCATTAGGCTGTTCCAAGGAGCATAAGGCCACTGTCTGGCTAAACTAGTAGATAATGCTGTGGTTTTTGTAGGTAATAAGTTCTTTTTTAAAAAATGAAGTTACCAACCCCACACCAAACCAAACAGATTTCGAATTCAGAGTTATCCTTCTCTTACACTGTTTGCCAACCATGGCTACAGTGTACCTCTGTTTTCTAATTTAACCCATATCTGTGGGGATAAGAGAAAGAGTCATAACTTCACTTTTGTGCGAAAGTCAATCTAACGAACTCGACCGGAATTCGAACCCAGTCAGTGCTACATTCGATTTAACCTTATAAAATCTTTCTCTTAAATTAATTTTTCATGAAAATAGGTTCCTCAAATTCAGTAACTGTTATTGCTCTTTCTAGTACTAATAGGGGTTTCCTTCCTAACCTTTTGTTTGAAGCTGTGTGGAATGTCAACATCTTGATTATGCCATTATTTTCTCGTCGATTTACATGTGCTATCCATTTTAGTTGTTGCTGCTGTTGAAAGTCTTTAAGTAATGTGGTTTTTATTATTTGGTACACTTCTCTGTCTGTGATTCTGTAACACCTGCTCACAAAGTTCGAAGAATGATGCTTCTCGCTGAGACCGATAAGCTCCATTCGCTCAAAGCCATTTTCAACCATTGAGCTGAGAATGCGGTTGAATACGGCTGATAGTTTAGATATTTATGAACGGGTTTCGTGCCATGTATGGCATCCACATTAAAGTCTCGATCTGACGAGGCTATTTAAGAACATGACTCGAGTTTTTAGGCTAATGTTTTTGTTTTTGAGCAATTGACGGTATTGTGTGAAACTACCCTTAGCCTATTCTCTGTTCAATTTCCTTATTTCCTATAGCAAATTTGGTAATTAGACTGATGTATTTAAAGTGTTTAGTATTTACTATTTCCATATCTTGATATTTTATAATGAATTCAGAGTACGTGCTATCACTTCTAAGGTATTCAAATAAGGACAGCTACGAAGCTACATGATCTTCGCTGGATGACTCATTATAGCATCACTGTTGAAAAATACGCTTTCAATTACCCTGTCTTTTCTAGTTCTTAATAAATTTTGTCTTTTTGTTATCTTTCCTAAACCAGATTCCAGCATCTATTAACTGAAGCTCGTTAGGTAAGTTATTCGTTGTTTTCCTGATCAGGTACTCAGCGGTGAAGCGACCCTACGTTGTAATTAGCTAAGATCGGCAGCTACTGCAGTGTAAAGCATTTCAATCTTCTTTCACAGGACAATTCTTCGCGGACTTTTCTTTTTCTATGTGTCGTGTCCCTTCGGAACGTTGATGATCATGGCTCTCCATAATTATCTTGTCTTTTCTGGTTCTTAATAAATTTTGTCTTTTTGTTAAAAAGTTTAAAATGCATTATCATAAGTGTCCAGATGCAACGAAGATTCCAATCATTCGAAATGGGATACTGCAGAACCATCATCGGCATCTCCTGCACACCACAAATGACACATCACAAATGACACACCACAAATGACACATCACAAATGACACACCACAAATGACACACCACAAATGACACACCACAAATGACACAGTGCGAGACATCATCAGCCAAGGAACAGTCCCATTGGAAAACCTCATAACCACTGTTTAGAAGAGAAAGTTGGACAGGTATGATAACGCCATTAGAGTCTTTCCACTGCCATCCTATAAAATACCACGTTAGGCAAAAGAAGAAGAAGCAGACAGAGACAAAATGGAATGATAACATTTAAAGAAACTCAGACATTGGCACACGACCGAGACATATGAAGGAAGCTGGTCAGGTACTCAGCGGAGAAGCAACCCTACGTTGTAATTAGCTAAGATCGGCAGCTACTAAAGTGTAAAACATTTCAATCTTCTTTCACGGGACAATTTTTCGCGGACTTTTCTTTTTCTATGTGTCATGTCCTTTTGGAACGTTGATGATCATGGCTCTCCACAATTTCCTGTCTTTTCTAGTTCTTAATAATTTCTTTTTTTGTTATCTCTCCTAAGCCAGATTCCAGCATCTATTAACTGAAGCTCGCTAGGTAGGTTATTCGTTGTCCCATTTGCCTTCAATCTGCGCTGTGAGTATCAAATTTTCCAAGCCTCTTTTCCTCATTATGTGCCCTGGAAATTTCAACCTTTTTGTTTCCATTTACTCACATGTTCTGTCCTTGGTATTCTCAGCATCCTTCTGTAGAAGCATATTTATGTTGCTTCAAGTCTCTTATTCATCTGTGAAGCTTTCACTGCCATATAAGGAAGACTGATATTACATAATAGTTCAGTACTCTTTTCTTTTTTTGAACAAAATTTTCCTGTTTTTTAATACTTTGCTTAGCTTTTAGAAGACTCTTTCGCTCTCCTAATGCACCGTCAGATTTCAGTTAGCACTTTTCGTCCTCCGTTAAAACACTTCCCATATATTTAAACTGTTACACTTGTTTGATTTTGGCATCTCCAATTTGTAATTTGCATGTTGAACTGTTCCCTTTTGCTAACCACCATTTATTTTGTCTTTCTTCTCGCTTTTCTTTATTACCTTCTGTAGAAATTCTTGTAGTTTCCTTTCTGTGTTTGCTATCGACCCTGTGTCATCTGCATAAGTTAAACTGCGTAATTAATCTGTATCAGTCTAAGACTTAACTATTTAGTCATACGCATATATTCATGAACTATCTTTGTTCGAGAAAAATTTACATACACATACATAGGTCAGTACACACACAGACATGCGTACACGGTGGTCTATATATTTTATCATCTGTGAATTTTTCAAGTGGCATTATTTTTTAAAAGGTCACCAGATTACAAAAGATTTGGACTTGTGCCTGAATATTTTTGCAAAAAATAAGTCAGTTAAAATAGAATAAAGTAAAATAATAATAAAAAAAAACAAGAGAAAAGCTAAAAAAAAAAAAACATTCGAAATATTTGCAAGCCAAGGAATGAAGGGAAGAAACAATTTCTGTCACCACGAAATTCCAGTTCCATGATTCGGAATCTCTTACGAATAAAACACGAGTCAACTAAGCCACCAATTCGAGATCCTTCAGTCTAAAATGTTTCAGCTTTTGAAACATATATTTCTAATCTTAACTTTGGTTCGAGCTTACTTCATTAGTAATTTAAAATAAATTTTCGTTCATCCATGTCAAGGACCAAGTGCCACTGAAGGTAGGAGGTTACTGAATGAGAAAGGACGTGCATATAATATAGATATCGATTGACCTTGAACATGAAGAGGTTAAAATTGTAGTTATTAGGGAAACATCCTCTCAGGAGTTTGTTCTATAGAGTAATAGTTCTGATTGGAACTTATGCTTTACCTATGGAACACAAAGTGAAAGGGGATGTTTTCTAATGTTCTGCAAGACTTTCTTACTAAAACAAAACAGTCAAATTATATTCACTTTAGATGTCAAAGTGAAACAAATGGAATGTATAACTAAGAAAATCATATTTGAAAATCATTTTTGTTCATGAAGAATTTGTTGCTGTCTTCATTTACGTGCGTAAAGTTGCCTTTTCAGCGACACCAGTTAAGTGTAATTATACTGAATATTGCCGCCACATCTGGTCTGGTGCTCCTCTTTTATATCTAGAAATTCTTGACAAAATTCAAAGAATCTGAAATATTGTAGATCTGGTATTTTGACTTCAATCATTTTTCCACTGTCGTAAGACTAAATATTTCCATTGTAATTGTGCTGGTAAACTTTCCTCTATGGTGCATGTCACGACTAGCTAGGACTTTATAGAGTCTCTGAAGTATTGTTGTGCCTGTAGTAAGAATGGTAAGTAAGACTGCGTTGTTTTGGTGCAAGGAATATTCTTGTTTGGGTCAGTGTTTGTGGCTAGCTAAGTTTAAGACAGATTGAAGACCAGCCTTCTCGCATCCCTTTTTGGTCTTGTGCCACACGTCTTGTAAATAACGAGAATAAATATCACTTTCCTCTATGGTATCTCAACTTCATGAATCTAAATGTAGTACTAGATTGGCAGATAGGTCTCATCTTTTTACAGTTGAAATGGCTATATGTAATCGTAAGTTACATATAACCATTTTTATTACTACAAAGCTCCCCCGAAAATTAAATTTTGGCATTAAATGACCATTAAGGTATTGATATGCCGTCTAACAAACTAATCAATTAACCAATCCTGTGTTAGAACATAAAGTTTGAATATATAAATTTCGTTAGAATCAAAGAAAGGAATGGTGAACCGCTCTGTTATATCAATCTGCCTATATGGCAGTGAATGCCATAAATGAAGAAGAGGCAACAAAGATGTCGTTCTACAGAAGGATGCTGAGTCTACCTTAGACAAAGAATGTAAGAAATCTTTACGGAAAATGGAAACAACAATGACACTTTTATATAGAATAAGAAAGATGCAGTTGAAAATATCTGGGACAGAGAATAAGGAAAGTGGACTTGGAGAATTTGATACTCACAGGGCATATCCTAGGCAAGACGGATCAGTGGGAAACGGTGAGTAACCTGCCTAACGTGCTTTTTTGTTGGGAAATTTTGTTAGATAGAAAGATAACTGCTATGTAATATCAGTCTTCGTCTATGGCAGTGAAAATCTCCTCACAGATGAAGAAGAGATGTGGTTCTACAAAAGGATGATGAGAATATCATGAACAGAAAATGTGAGCAACTACGGAAAATACTTATGACTCAACCTAATATATATTATGATACTAGCTTCAAAGCCGCCATATCAGGCGGCATTTAAACTACCTCCTGCGGAGGGCTCTTGATTGAGTCTTCGGTTTGTTCATGAGTCCTTAAGTCTTTGCATATTCTAAGCGTTGGAAGCTCTCCTGGTTGCCGTTTGATCTGTGTTTTCATTTACCCAGGACTTTTTTTTCTTCGCCGTAGCCTTGGTTAATTTGATTGCAATCTGGTCCTCTGTTGGTGGAGATTTCTTTTTGTGAGGCATTACTGCTGCCATATGTGATAGACAACAATAAACTACAGAAGAACTCAAAATTGATCGCTGCATTTAAGTATTGCATTAATATCTAAGCTTACCTTTTAAAAGTTCAACGATAATTCTTCTGTCGTCACTTAATTTAAAGGCAATTTAATGTGCATAGGTATTTACTTTCCGTTACAAACAATTATTTTTATTTCATGGGTGTCTTTCGCAATTAATTTCAATTATTACCAAATTTATTTTCAAGTTATAAAAATTGTTACCGTACCAAAAAATTCGTCGCAAAAAATCACGTAAAAAAAAATCTCCGAAAACAATCGCCGTAATGAAATTTTGGGAATCCAAAATTTCTGTAACATATGCTACTGAAAGTTAGAGAGTTGTGTCCCTTTAATTGAAAAAGCGTGACACAGTGGCACACTGACATTGGCATTTATTATATAGAAAACTTGTCTCTATGTCTCTTTATATAGTCCATTCCTTTGTCTACTAAAACCGATGCTCGTTTAGTTACCTACTACGATACATTTCTGTTAGTTTTAACTAAGCTTAGTAGATATTTATGGAGTACTGGGTAATTGATATAATTGCGTATTTTCTACTGATACCAGAGGTCAATGATCAAGCCCAGATGAAAACCATTATTTTGAATACTACTTTTCTTGACAAAATGAGTTTCTCCTTTTGTAAGAGCGGCGTAACAATTTTTTTTTCTCCCATTTTATCCTGTGGTATGCGACTCACCTCAGATGATACCAGAATAGACTTTGCCCTTATTGTTACATAAGATCACCAGAGAATCCAGGTGAATCAGCGGAATGATTTGAAAGATACTCACTTAGCTACCAGATGCAGATTCAATAGCTGCCCCGTCATGTAAACTGATAAGTGACCCATCTGCGATTGGGTGTGCATATGTGGGACAAACCGGATGACAGGTAGATATATATGTACTCATCCGAGAGAAAGGAGAAAGATAATCTCTTACATATTTGTGAGAAGAAGAATCCATGTTCGGAGAAAGTACTGAAAGCCACACACCAAGTCACAAATTTTAATTGACGAAGTTTGGAGTTGAAAAATTTTACGCATGAGGAATTTAGTTTCGTATTCATATTAATAATCTGTACAACGCTTACATGACACTCTTCATCTGGCCTTGTACCAGACTACACTAATGTCATTAAATGTCTCTGCAGGATTCACTTGGAACAATTGTTAGCAAGCTAGGTTTATTTGTACAAGTTGCAACGTTTAAATCTTTTTAAAATTTACATGAATAAATACACTTTTGTTTTTTCTAGATAAAAAAATGCAATTGGTTAAGCGCGTTGATCGTTTAAGAGACACACTATGATTTGAATACCTCGGGCTTTAGACGGTTTATCAGGGGTCGAGCACTCGCTCATGAATTTGGCATTCTAACGTAATTTCCCTGAGAAGGGCACGCCCTCATGTCACAAAAGGAATGGATTAAACACAGTAAGGGAGAAGTATAACCCTTCATTCTGTCAGCTCCCTCACCCCAGATCCACATTTCTTTTACTTTCTTGCTTTTATTCATAAATTTTTCGTTTTTTCATTTTATGTCAAATGACAAAATAACTTAATGGAGGTTGGCTTCGGGCGAGATACTGCGTGAGAGACTGGAAGAGGCATTTACCTTAATTATAAGATGTTTAGTATGAGTTTATAAAACTACGAGATTTTTTGCAGGGTAAGGCGAACTTTCGTCGGGGGTGAAAGGAATTTGGGGGAAATTTTGTGACAGGACGTTCTTTTTTTTTCCTTTTTTCTTTCTCCTGTGCTCTTGCTTTCGCTTTCTCTCGTCAACGTTCAAATAAAAAATCTACACTTATCTATCTATCTATCTATCTATCTATCTATCTATCTATCTATCTATCTATCTATCTATCTAATACTATTAATAACAAGATAGTTCGCCAACTCCAGTTTATATCTGTATACATATATTTAACTCATTCTATCTATCTATCTATCTATCTATCTATCTATCTATCTATCTATCTATCTATCTAATACTATTAATAACAAGATAGTTCACCAACTCCAGTTTATATCTATATACATTAATTTAACTCTATCTATCTATCTATATCTATCTATCTATCTATCTATCTATCTATCTATCTATCTATCTATCTATCTATCTATCTATTCTATCTATCTATAACAAGATAGTTCGCCAACTCCAGTTTATATCTATATACATATATTTAATATATTTATTCATTCTATCTATCTATCTATCTATCTATCTATCTATCTATCTATCTATCTATCTATCTATCTATCTAATACTATTAATAACAAGATAGTTCGCCAACTCCAGTTTATATCTATATACATATATTTAATTCATTCTATCTATCTATCTATCTATCTATCTATCTATCTATCTATCTATCTATCTATCTATCTATCTAATACTATTAATAACAAGATAGTTCGCCAACTCCAGTTTATATCTATATACATATATTTAACTCATTCTATCTATCTATCTATCTATCTATCTATCTATCTATCTATCTATCTATCTATCTAATGCTATTAATAACAAGATAGTTCACCAACTCCAGTTTATATCTATATACATATATTTAACTCTATCTATCTATCTATCTATCTATCTATCTATCTATCTATCTAGCTATCTAATACTATTAATAACAAGATAGTTCGCCAACTCCAGTTTATATCTATATACATATATTTAACTCATTCTATCTATCTATCTATCTAATACTATTAATAACAAGATAGTTCGCCAACTCCAGTTTATATCTATATACATACATTTAACTCATTCTATCTATCTATCTATCTATCTATCTATCTATCTATCTATCTATCTATCTATCTATCTATCTATCTATCTATCTATCTAATACTATTAATAACAAGATAGTTCGCCAACTCCAGTTTATATCTATATACATATATTTAACTCATTCTATCTATCTATCTATCTATCTATCTATCTATCTATCACGCAGTTCGAATCCACCTATCTGCACACGTATCAATATAGATATAAACCGGAAATACCTGACCTCGCTATCCATTCGCCTCGCAGTATTGACCTTAGTGACCTCTTTTATATTTACATACGCTCTCTTCCTGATACTGAGCACTTTTACGCATAAATATAGAATACATTAAAATTATATTTTATCATATTTAGCTCCCGATAAAAATTTGATCATTTTCGCTGCATTGATAACCTTATCATGGACATTGAAAAGTTTGGCCTCGACTACCCCCTGAGGAAATTACCCATTCCACTACCATACACTTACAGACTGAAATTTAAAAAAAAAGCCTGATAAAAAGAATGAAATGGAAAGTTCATTTCTTCTGAAACCAAGAATTTAATACAAATACCACACTAAAAAAAGTTTTCTCAACAAAAAAAAATGTCCCCAACAACACAAATAACTAGATAACTTAGTAAGAAACATAAACAGACGATTAAAAAAAAAACTAAAAGAGATATTAAAATAAACAATTCACCTAACGTATTTATCACCGCAGAACCCCACCCCCCAGAAATTTATATGAATTAGACCACACAAAACTACTGAAGGACAACATAAGTAAAACATACAGAAAAGTACCGCAAACTACAGAATATGATATTAATATAGAAACTAGAAATTTGCCCAAACATTAAACATTGACGACCGAATAAACTGTACCACTAAATCACAAACAGTCTTTACACTAAAAACGAGAAAGAAAACTAACCCAACATGCAGACTCATAAACGCAACTAAATGTAAACTAGGTAAAATAATACTATAAAGACTGAACTCAGAACTAAGGATGAAGTTAGTAATAAACCAGTGGAAAAATACAAAACAGTCATAGGCTTGTTCCGTAATCTAAAAACGTAATTGTAAATTTATATAACTATCTATATAAGATTTTTACCATTCTATAAGCGAACTCATGCTACATAACGCAATCGCTTTAGCACAAGAACAAATAAAAATAAGTACAAACGAATTAAAAATCAACAAGAACTGCATAATCATTATTATTCAACAACAAAGACACATGGCTAAAGAACGTTCGACGTTAAAATGGGAAGTTTTGACGGAGTCTTGGACATACATGGCGCTTCTTATATGTCAAAAATGGTGGGAATGAGGAGCGTAGCTGGTCAGAACATTTTCCCTGGAAATGGTGATTCAGATTCTGACCATATATATTTAACTTCGGAACTAGAAATCAAAAATATAGTGATGGCATACCAACAAAATTGACGAGAATTTGGGTTTATGATAATTAACGAATGTATGAACAATCTCACGATAAAAGTGTGAGTAGAGTAACAGCTACTTGCACAAAGATTATCAAAGAGAAAATAGTATCACACTGTTTTCGGGAATGATTTCTGGTAACATATGGGCAACCATCTCGGTCGATTGGCATAACGTGCAATGTTTTTTTTTTTTTTTTAATAAAGCCAGACAGCCAGAGCTATCTAGAATTTTCGGTTTCATTTTACGTGTATGAATTCTTCTAGTGAGCAAGTTAGCCAATATTCTTTGCAGCAAAATACGGCCTCAAACGATCTTCAAGCCATATATCACTAGTCTTATAGCGGACTCTATATACAAGTCAATCTTGGATTAAGTGAAGTGGGGTCCATGAAAACCCGCTCTTTCCATTTTTTTTTGTTTTTCATTTATTTTACGTTCGTTTATTTCCCCTTGGTTTTAAATTTTGGTATTTGAAATAAATTTTATTACATTTAGTTTTATTTAGCCCTTTTGGTCAGGATGTGATTGTTGGTAGCGTAGTAAAAATTTGTTTTCGTTTCTGCATTTGAAAATGAAATCTGATCTTTTTTTAGGATTTTATCTTATTCTGGAAATGTAATTATAGCCATTTTTCATATACACAAAGGGGGACACGTTTTGAGGGTTTGTAATAAATCGCTAATGTTTTTCTTATTTACCATGTTTTTACTTTGGGAGGAGAAGGTTTGTTTTTTGTTTGCTTTTGAGTTTCCATATATGACAGGATTGTGCAGTTTGCACATTTTTTGTTGTTTCCTGATATTTTGGGTGAGTAGCTTTTCTGTTTTCCAGGGACCATTTATTATTTCTAAATATATTTTCAGGTTCTCCTTTGGATCTTACTGTAGCTTTGTATATTATGTTATTTTATAGACAGTTAAAATTTGATATGAGGTTACAAAACCGTTAGAAAAACGTAGCTGACACTTCTGGGACACATAATGAGAAAAGAGGTGATAGAGAATTTTAAACTGACAGGGTATTCTGAAAGCAAGAGAAACAGCGTGAAACAACGATTAACCTATGTAATGGGTTTGCGTGAATGGATGACGAAGAGGAATGGTAGATGGTCAAAGATTAATTAGAGCAACAAGAAGCGGAAAGTTGTGGAAAGTCATGTTAATCTAGATCCGGAAATAACATGCCATATTTTCTTTCCAATGAAGCAATTGGATTTCGAGTTCAAATCGAAGCCGGATAAGAGATCCTCTGCGTGTGAGATTCGGCTGTCCGCCAGTATATGTATATATCGAGCCGGACGTGTTTATAAGTGAATCAAGCATTACGCACGCCTCTGTGTTTTTGGAAAAGTTTTTTGTTTAAAAAAAAAGGATGTCATGTGCTTGTCTTTTGCTGTTACCGAGAAAGAGGTCATATATCTTAGTGTTCCTTGTAGTGGGTGGATACTGCAGGAACTTGTATCGTTCTTTCCGATCGTAGGATTTCATTTTTTATTTACTTTTTTATTGTCTAGAGTAAATATACCAGCCAAATATAGGCCAGGAGAGCAGGTTTTTTTTTTCACAACAAAAATTTCGTCGCAAAGAAAAGGAAATCTAAAAATAAGTGAGCAGTAATTTTAGAATTTTTCTAGCGCACTGTATTTTGCAAAAAAAAAAAAAAAATGACATTAATCAGTGGCATATTTTTTTTTATTCGCGTCAAGCAAGCAAAATCTGCTGCAGTCGCAATTCAAAACGAAACTATACTCTTTTAATCATCTTAGAGAATCCTTTTATACCTTCCATCAGTATGGCTGGTGCTAACCTCCACGAAAGTGATTCATTGCGACTTCTAGGTTTAACGTTTTCCGCTGACATGAAGCGGAAAGATTATATTGAATCAATTGCTAAGTCTGCAGCTAGGAAAGTTGCTTCCTTGTTTTGTGCTAGACAATGTTTCTCGCTAGAAACTTTCTTACATATTTATAAGTCTACCATTCATCACATCTGGTTTGGTGCTTCTGCTATATTTTTTAAAATTTTCTTGATAAAATCCCAAAAAAAGAATCTGCAATATTATTGGTCTTGACCTGGCATGTCGCATTTAGACCCTTTCCCATCGCCTTCCCTGTGTCTTTTCTATAAATATTTTTATGGTAATTGTTCTGATTACCTTTCCTCTATGGTACCTAGACTTTTATTTATAACATATGTATATATTCCGAAAGGTGACATTCCAACGCGCCTTTCTATGCCGTGAATGTTAAATGTTTTTATTAAAATATAGTTAGTGGTAAATATAGTGGAAATGAGATACATTTCTGTCATTTAATGCGCTTTTATTTCTAAAAAGACAAAAAACAATCTGTACAAACAGCCAAAAAGATATGTGCCGTTTATAAATATGTTCCCATATCTGAGATTACTGTTCGCTCGATTTAGAAATCATTTTGAGCTGAAAGATCGATAACGTACTTTCAGGCCTGCAGTCGTTGATGGTGACCAAAACGAAACGCTAATTAAAAATAACACCACACGGGACGTCGCAGAGATACTTCACATATGTCGTACAAGCTCTGTAAGACATTTGAAAACAGTTCGATACGGGAATTGCTACGATATTTGGCTGACTAACGATTTAACGGGGAACATATTAATAAACCACATTACTATCTGCGATTAGCTACTCAAACGCAGCAAAAACTGCCCAGTTTTGAAAAGAACAATCATAGGCGATGAAACTGGAATGTTTACGACACTGTAGAGCGAACAGTATCCTAGACAAAACGAAATGAGCCACCGTCAACTATTCAAAAACTGATGTGTATCCAAAGAAGGTGATATTTTGTATCTGGTGAGTTAGGAAAGGTACTATGTATTATGAACTTCTTCCGCAAAATCAGACGCTCAATTCAGTCGTTTTCCAGTCGGAAGGATTAAAGGCAGCAATTAATGAAAAGTACCTGGAATTGGCCAATCGGAAAGGTGTCGTCTTTCATCAGAAACAAGTCAGTTTTCTTTGCAAATCCGCTAGAAATATGTACAGGTTGGCTTCGCTAGCACCTTCGTTTTACCACTTTTTTCGAACACTATACAATTATCTTAGTTGAAAGAAGAATTTCAATTCTCTGGAACCAGTTCGTCAGCCAAAAAGATGCCAAATTCTGCGAGGATGAAATCTTGAAGCTGCCCCAAAGATGACGAAAAGTAGTAGGAAAAATGACACATAGGTGTTTGAATAAATCTATGAATAAATATCAAAATAAGGTCTTTGAAATTCTGTACTCAAACGAGACGATCTCCTTTTTTGAAATGACTTATCACAGGCGATGAAAAGTGTGTTGTTTACATCAATGTGGCGTAAAAACGTTCTTGGGGAGAACTAAATGAGTCACCGTTAACCACTCCAGAATCCAGCTTGGATCTGAAAATTCTACTATTTGGATAGATTGGAAGGAGATTGTGTATTACGAGCTTCTTTTGGACGTTGAATTATGTCAAGTACTATTCCAACTTGGGCCAATTAAAAGCAGGAATTTACGAAAATCGACAAGCACTGACCAATTAAAAGGACATTGTTTTCTATTAGGACAACGCCAGACGTCGCATCTCTTTGTAGAAATTTGTACAGCTTGGCAGGGATTCCCGACTGAAGCGGC